CACTGCTGTAGGCACTGGCGAGATTCGAACTCACGATCTCCTGTTTACTAGACAGGCGCTTTAACCAACTAAGCCACAGCGCCGACATTATTAGAAATTTTAAAAATGATTTATGAATAAATTACTGAATTACCACACTACGAGATAAAAAGTGTAAAAGTTAAATAAAAATAATTTACTTTCTATTTAATATTTGAAAATAGAGTAACAACAAATTATGTTTATCGGATTTTTGTTATCAAATAAATTTTAAATTAATTGGTATTTATTTTACAAAGACCTCAACGTTCTTCATATTTATAGGAAAACATAATTTATTTGAGGTAATTCATTAAATATACTCTAAAAAATTAATCTAAATTTTTTATTTGTATGCTATATTCAAAAAAAAATCTATAATATATATTGATTTGTATTTTAACGTTTTCTTAATTTGTTTTACATGTTGATGAAGTGAGCCCATTCTTTTTATTTCAATAATTATCTTTAGATGATTTGATGAGACATACATATATATGTATAAGTATAATTAATATAATCTAATTTTATTTAGAAAATTTCTTTCTTAACTTTTATTAATTGTCTTATAAATTAGGAATAATTTATTGCATGTGTTACTATACTAATCAATAAAACAATATTTATCTATCAGATTACAAGTTATACAAAAAATTTACTTTAAAAATATTAATTTTATTAAGTATTATAATTACTTGCCCTCATCCATGAGCTGAACTAGCTAACACAACTCATTTTGAACCGCAGGCCTCAACGGCGCTGTGGCTTAGTTGGTTAAAGCGCCTGTCTAGTAAACAGGAGATCGTGAGTTCGAATCTCGCCAGTGCCTTGGTTTAATGATAGAAACCACTCTATCCAAATATTTTTGTTTAGCAATATTTATTAATATTGTAACTTCATTTTCTATAAATATTGATAAATTGTATATTTTACAAATTTTAGTAAGTGAAAATTAATTATTATAATTATAGCTTATTCAAAATGACATTTAGGTGCAGATAAAGTAAAAAAATAAAAATATCAGGGATAGAAATTGAAACAATTTTGATTTTTGATCATTTTTTTTATATCTAGTAAATAAGTTATTTTTTATTAAATTTTTTAAAATACATATTGGAAAAACGAGCGCAGAAAACATAATATTTTGAGACCATCTTTGTAACCTTAATTGATTTTAAAATAAGACTTTAAAAAATTTAAGTTTAGTTGAGGTTTTTAAAACTATTTCATAATACATTCGGTTTATAAAATCATTACTTAAATAAATTCTTGAAAAAAATGTTATATAGATTAACTAACTACTAAATATGTTAAAGATTTTTAGTAGTGGTGTTCCCAGAATTTCATAATGAGGAGGGGAACGTAATAAAAAATTTACAGAACTCCATATTTCAGACTTTTTTTTTCCTTCATTATTATTAATTATTATAATTAACTTGTAAATTAATATTGCTGTTAATAAAGAGGCATGATGCCTCTTAATTAGCCCTATTTCCCGTGATTACGTCATTGCATATTGGTTCCTAGCCCTGAAAAGAATATAAAATTATTTTCCAAGGATTAATATCAACTCAAAAACTATCAATTTAACTAACCTTATTAAAAAATTTCTATCATTTCAATTCATTAATATCAAATTTAATAATTATTATTTATTTATGTTATATACACTAAGTGGAACAAATCTAACTGACATCTCTGTAACCTATAATCTACATAACATTTTATACTTTTTTTTAACCATTATTTTCAATATAGGACTATATTTAAAATGTGTTTTCTACTATTTTTCGCAATTACAAAAAATATTTTAAAAGTAAAATTTTTTTTTAAATTTTAAATTAACAATTTTATAGACAAATGTAAAAAAAAAATTTGACACCAAAAACTCTTGAATTAATTTAGTAGTTACGTTTATAAAGATTTTTGAAGTCTGTTAAATTTTGAATTTTTTTGCCATTTCCTATCAAATGTTAGTTCATTTTATGTAAACGACGGAAGTAAACATTATCGTTTTACGTTATTTACTGGTAACAGTACACTATTTCTTTTCCATGGATAATAATAACGTTTGAATGCTATTTTTACAGAAATGATTATCTTTAATCTTTATTATAACATGTTAGAAACATTGTCGTATGTTAACTATATGTGTTCGATGGTTAGCCAAGTAAAATGATAACAGTTATAAATTAGCGTGAATCCATTATTGATATCATATTATAGTATATTGCTTGACAAGAGATTTGATAATAAATGCACTTATTCGGTGTTATGTTCACTATTTCTTATTATAATATGTTTTAGATAACGTTTTTATAATTTTTTTTAATAAACGTTATTTTTATCCAATGAAAAGAAATCGCATACTGTTAACTGTAAATAACGTAAAATGATAATGTTTACTTCCGTCCTTAACATAATATAAACTAACATTTGATACCATAAGAAAATCGTAAAAAAATTCAAAATTTAACAAACTTCAAAATTCACTATATACGTAATTACTGAATTAAAATAAGAGTTTTTGGTATCAAATTTTTTTTTTAACTTGCCTATAAAATAGCTATTTTAAAATTTTAAAAAATAATTAATTTTTTAAATATTTTTTATAATTACAAAAAATAACATACAACATATTTTAAATATAGTCCTATGTGGTAAAAATTGATTAAAAGAAAGGATAAAATGTTATGTAGATTATAAGTTATATGAGTTGTCAGATAGATTTTCCACTTTGTATAACGAGAGTATAGGGCAAGAGTACAGCCATTTTAATATTATAATTAAAATTAAATATTTAATAAAAATTAAAACTTAGTAAAATTTAATAAATAGTATTATAGATTTTATCTAATACACAAATACAAATAACATGAACATTTAAAAACAACTATATATTCAAATAATTAATTAGTACATTAGATTTAATACATTCATTGAATGATTAAAATAATCCATAGTTGGAAATTATTATACGCATTACACAAAAATTTTATTTTCCTAATAATTCAAGAATATCTCATCATTAATCGGTTTGAAAATAAACGTAACATCATGCAAGTCTCCTAGTTGAAAACATGCAAATATTCAAATATCTCATAAAGAGAGTAGTTTTTTTCAGACATTTTTAACATAATAAAATTAAGGAAGTTGTTTTGAAATTTTTCTATATCATTTACTAAAAACTGTTGGTTAGGATTCCAAAACGATTGTTCCATATTCTAAAATTGGATATAATATTGAACTAACATACAATATAATATTTTTTAACAGGAAATATTAGAAAATTCTCTACAGTACCTTTTTATAAAACATTAGGTAGCCTTACCACAACAAATATTTGTAATATGAGTTTTAAACATTAAGTCATTATATAAAACTAAACCTAAATCTTTAATTTCAGTAACTGTAATAGTACTTAATTATTTATGTGATAATCATATTTATTTTTAGATCGATTCTGACTAAGTATTTTGAATCTTTAAACATTTGAATACAAACCATTAATATTACTCAATTCATTAAAATGTATTAAATTTGTTTGGAATAATTTACAATCATCTAGAGAATTTATAGAGAAATCAAATTTTATATCATCAGCAAATGAAATATGTTTACAGTTCTTAAAAATTTGACCTACATTATCAATAAATATAAAAAACAACAATGGTGACAAATTATAGTTTGTAGTTTTATAATTATACATTTTAATTTTTGTTAATTTACTTTAACTTGAAGTTAGACCATGGTTAAGGGCAGTGATGGTTAAACTAAACCTCTTATTTTAGATATACAAATTTATAAAGGAGTTTTAATATCATTTATTTAATGAATCAATAAATTAATTTTTGCAAAGAAATTCAACATTTGTTTAAAAGGTTAGACTTTGTGTAATATTTTCATATATTAGAATTAAAATTTTTTTGTAAAATGGCAATAAGAATAGAGGAAGTAGTTTGTGTCTAAATACGGTTGTTTTTACAATGTGAGGTCAACGGCGCTGTGGCTTAGTTGGTTAAAGCGCCTGTCTAGTAAACAGGAGATCGAGAGTTCGAATCTCTCCAGTGCCTAGTGTGCTATTTGTACACTTTTTGCAATTTTTTTTTATATTTTGTGTTTTTTTTTACATATTTTAAACTAAATTCTAAAAGTTAAGCATTCAAAACATTAAATTGAACGTTTGGTAGGTTTAAAAATTGATTAAATATAACATTTTTTTTATTAACCAAGTATATCTGCTTAATATTATAGAAATTTTTATTTTATAAAAAATATGGAACNGTGTGCTATTTGTACACTTTTTGCAATTTTTTTTTATATTTTGTGTTTTTTTTTACATATTTTAAACTAAATTCTAAAAGTTAAGCATTCAAAACATTAAATTGAACGTTTGGTAGGTTTAAAAATTGATTAAATTATAAATTTTATATTATAAAATTATATTATAAATTATAATTTAATAATTCAAATTTAAGAATTTCAATTACTTCATCGAAATACACGATAAAATAGATTTTGAGTATTTTGTGTATTAATTATTTCAACACAAGAAGTTAAGTATACTGAAGCTGTATGTATAAGTATATATAAGCCATTAAAGGTTTCGCCCGCTACATTTTATAATTAAAACCTGATATATATTAATATATAGTATTATTTTACATTTCTTCGATTTGTAAATTGACAAATTTGTAATATTCATTTTATTTGTATAATACTATCGATTATAGATATAATACTAATTTATACTTAATTATTATATAAGTCACCCAAACAAATGGTCTTACATTAATTAAAAAAAAACTATTACAAATGGATACTATGTAAGATAAATAATAACGGTTACTTTTGTCGCACAATATATTTTAACGATTATAACGCAAATGCTCAATAATACATTTGACAATTTCGTTTATTAGGTCAACAAAAATCTCAGTTCCGCAGAATTCTGCAATTAAAAATATCACAATAAATCTTACCTGTTTAAATTTCTTGTAATCAATTTTCATCATTAAAACTTTATCTGAATCTAAACAAAATAATTAAAAATTGGTAATGAATTATAAAAATTTTAAAAATTATCAAAAACTAGACGATTAAAAATATATTGTTTTATACGGTACTTAAAATTATAAAAAATAATTACACTTAAAATTATTTAACTTAAAACAATATTTTATTCAAAGATACATTTTTTTACAAATATCTAAATTTAACTTTTTTGTTTTAGAATATAAATTTAGTATAATATTAGGAAAATATATTATTTTTTGAAAGAGTCATTTTTTGCATTACTCGATCATAAAAAAATTGTACAACAATTTATTGTCTAATTATTGTTATTCTTTTTTTTACTTAAGAAGATTGACAGATGTTTGTTCACAACCATGAAACTATATTGCTAAAAAAAAAACACATAAGATATATGTCTTTCGTTTTCAATGAAGTAGAAGCTTTGTGGTTTTTCCCTGTAAAACCGATTTGTGGAACAAAGGAAAAAGACTATTACTAAAGAGGAATGATACCCAGTGGGAAAATGCAGTATGATGAAAACGAATATACACGTGGTCCATAATGGTTCTTTAAATTAATACTAGTAGGCTACACTAAACATATTATATTTATAGACTGTAGCATTAGTATATAACAACGAACTGGTATTTTGTTTTACGTGAAAGGCCTAGGTAAAAAGTATTGCTTCGATTTTCATATCAGTGGTATAGCAAACCAAAAAAGTACTTTTAAGAATTTTTCAGAAGTTTTCTTTAAAATTTATATTATAATAAGAGTGTATGTAAATTCTAATTTTGGAATATTATAAAATGGTAGAATTTCAAAATTTAATAGTAATTTCTAGTGTATATATAAAACACATTAAAAAAAGTCACTTGCATCTTATGTGTGACTATAATTTAGGCTTAAAATAAATATATGTTTATTCTAGATTTTGATCATATCAAGACATATATTATGTTGAATAAATTAGGGAATATGGTACATTATTCCCATTTAAAGTACAAGTATATTAACATGACACATATTTTTAAATAATATTTAAACATTTTAAAATTAATTTTACCTTGAAAATTACACACAATTACAAATATCATTTATCATTTTGTAAAAATGATCAATAATTTTATTTAAAGCTTATGGTTTATTTTACCCCAGATAAAAAGAATAAAAAAATAATTGTTTCTTTACATATTTAAATAAATATTTTTTTTTAACTTAGTTTTGATAATAATTTGTATTAACTATTACGCATTTTTTGTTAGTAAGAAAGAAAGAGTATATTAGACTACTTATTATTATTAATACATAACAAATTTATTCTCACTAGTGAATAAATATTAAAATGTTCATAAAATATGTACATATATATATTTAGTTTAAGAAACCAACTTTTAAAAAATGCAGTTTCATTCAATCGGGACAAAACTGCTTAGCTTCAATTTTCTCAAATAGGAAATCATTTTTAAATGTTATTATAATACTATAGAAAAATATAAAAATCCATTTTAATTTTTAATTTTTATATGATTATGTTTGTGACGCATATTTGTAGAAAGCAATGCTTGATAATTTATTTGGTGTATTTATATCAAATTCTACAGTAGTAATTTGTTTTAGTAATCCAGATGTATTGTCTTAGGTAGATATCAAGAATTGAATAATTTGTTACATAGATTAAAAATAAGGTATACAGAAATGAAATACTGAAATAATTACATTATTTTTAATTTTTCCTATAATACTATCAAATTAAAAAAAATAAAATAAAATAAAGTTTTTATAACTGAAGAAAAGAAATATATTATATTAGCTTCAATATACAGATTAGAGGGTATTAATTTTATTATTTAGAGTTTATGATATTATTATTTTTTTTTTTTGTATTCGTTACTACTTTTTACAAATGATGAAAAATTCGCTTTCGCCCTTTTACATATTTGGGATCAATATTATTTAACCACACATTTTTAGTGTTACTAAAAATCATAAAAAATAGATAAAAAATTAAAAAATATTATTAGCATATGCGATATATTCATGTTGAGTTAAAGTGTTTCGATAAGTAAAATAACTTATGATTTACTGCATATGTCCTTATTTTTTAGCTTTGAAAAAAACAAAGAAAAAATTGTATTTTTTTTTTATTATTGTCGCTTTTTCTCAGCTCTTACTGGACGATTTTAGGCAATTTATTTTGCTTACTTATTTATTATGATTACTTATTATGTTACTACAGTACTCCTTTCTCGAGAACCCTATTGATTAATTAAATCATTTGAAGGAGAAAATAATTGTAAATACTTATAATGTTTTACAATAACCTACAAGTATACTTGTGTACTGAAACATAGTTTTTCATATTTTACTAAGTAAAAAATATTAAGTCAGAAAAAAATTATATTTTTTTGCGATGAAATATAGGAAAATTAGATAAAATTACATCACTTCATATTACTGCAGAGTATTTATGATTATTTTTTACTAAAATTTATGTTTATCGAATAAATATTCATCATATTCTATTCATTCATTATAAAATATAACGGTTCAATTTTTTATTAACAAGTAACACGAAAATATTATATATACGTATTAATTATATAAATAGCTACTTACTATTAAATAAATTGTTACATAACATCAATACCGAACCGCTTAAAATAAATTTTACACTAAGATAAAATAACTTTAATTTTGTTTCTTAATTAAACTATATATATAGCTAACAGATGTCTACATTTAACTCTAGTAAACCTATATGGATTATATGATTAACATACAATAAAAGTCATTATTATTCCAAGAATTTTCAAAGATCATAAACAATTTAGAATATTTTCATGGAAGTTGTTATGTCATCGGTGTCACAATTTTGCCCTAATGTGACTTTCTAATGGGCCTTAAGTAATGTATTAATTTTTCGATTTTGATTGATTACACATTTTAGTTTAATAATTGAGTGTTGTATTTAGTGTGTGTTGTGTGAACTTTTAACGCGTATATTCGTTAATTTTTACTTTTCAAAATAACATTTTATTTGAATATATAGTTGTTCAGTAAGTAAAGTAACGGGTTTCTATTGTTCTCATTGTTTGTATCAATTTACCTGTTTCCTTACTTACTGAACACTCTGTATATTATAAAGTTGTAGTATTTAATATTTTTATATATATTTGCAAAATGTCTCTGTTCCTGTTGATAACCTCCTTACAAACAGGTTAGTTAAAATTAATTTTAAGTTCAACTAAGCTAAAACAAATCACTAATATTTTATGAAGTTATCCATTATTTATTATTGATGTATTTATAAAAAAAGACTTTTAAAGACTGTGTTACCAATTATTATTATACTATATACTACTTATAATTATCATTTAATTAAAGTAATATTTTATTTTTTTCGGCTTTATACTAATATAATAATGGATATAACTAACAGATGAAAATTTAAGTTACAATTTTTTATTAGATTTAAATGTATATGTATGTATTATACACTTCTAATATAATGTTCAAAAACTATCATATATTTTTTAATAACAAGAAATCAACTGATGCATCATGTCGATTCAATTGTGTAGGGTACATTAAAGCGAAAGATATTGCCGTTTAATATGTACATTAGATAATTGTATAAACACAGTTATCTTATAATCTCTTATTTTTTTTTATTTGTGAACATTTCGTAACAGAGTAATCAAGTTTTGAATTTACTTTTAAGGCAAAAAACTCCTTTATTTCTACTTCAATAAATATTTGAACTGTCGCAAAGTCTCTTATTATAATTATTAATAATTTTTATAAACATTATATTATATGTTCGTACGATTTATTTTATAACAACGTGCTAAAATTACTTCACTACTTGATGTGTCACATATGAAGGGTATGATAAAAGTTCCTACTCTGAAATTTTAATGTTTATATGGAGTGACGAAATTTAAATGAAAAAAGTTGGGGAGTACTTTGGCCACTTCTTCCCCTTTTGCCACTATTCTCCTGATGGTGTACTACTCATCAAAACATTTTATCCCCGAAGTTAGTTATTTTTGCGGCCAATGCGAACTTTCTCATTTTGTGCTGTAGCTACAAAACGCCCCTCAAACTCATAGTGATAAATGAAAAAACGTCGTACAAAAGTTTCATCGTTTTAAGTAATATGACAGCATTATTTTTCATTAAAAAAAAGTAATATCCTCCTGCTTATCTTTACAAACTTATCTGTTCTCGTGTTATTCTGTCCTATTACTAACAATACAATTTCAGATTACTGTGATTGGTTTTAAATGAAAACCCATCAGAAATATAACTAGACGTTACTAAGTCCTTCAAAATATGAACTTTGAAAACAGAGTGGTGCCCTGGTTTAAAATTTAAGATAGGCTGAGTTATAATTATTAGAATTTAAACTTATAGTACCAGAGTTTGGTTTCTCTCAGACCTGTACCTAAAGCTGGCTTTGATAACACGTTTGGGCCTATCCGATCTACCCGCTGGGAACCCAACTGTATGAAAAACACTCATAACTTATCTAGATCAACGTCTTAAATTAAGAATATACTTTCGTCTCTTAATCCAATTAAGATTTACCTTACTTACGAATTAAATATTTAAAAAAAATAAAAATGTCTACACTATTTTGTTTCGGTAATTACTTGTTATAAAACATAAAATCTTAGAAGATTTTAAATACGTGATATAATTTGATTATTATAGATCAAAGTGGATACAGTAATTAAGTTAGTGATTTGTTGATACAATTTTTATAATATGTACATATTATGTCGATTGTCAATTACTTACTGTCAAAATTCACCCTTCTAGTTTCTAGCACTTCACGTGTAGCACGTGTTCTACTTAAAGCTTTGATAAAATAAAAAGAACCTGTCAAATATCAAAATTTAATTTGTCAACACCGTAATATCTCATAATAACTTTTGCGAAAGATTCTTCTTTTAACAGTGGTGACAACTAACTCCTCACAAAAAGCCGGTTTAGGTTTTGTTTCTTTAT